CTTTTTGTGTGTAAGAGATTTTTATTAAGAACTAGAAGCCTCATGCACAGAATTTGTGTCCCTCAGCCAAGGAGCCTGCACCTTCTCTAATCTGGGACCCCTTGAGGGCAGTCAGACATCCATCTCAAAAACCAGGACTGCTGGCTCTCAACTGCTCGCCTGCCAGCCTGCCTGCCTGATTGCCCATAACTGCTTCTGCCTGCCAGCCTCATCATCCCCTAACTGCCTTTCCCTGCTGGCCTGATCACCCACAACTGCCATCTTGTGTCCACTTAGGGGCAGCCATCTTTGACCACATAGGGGTTAGATTGATGGTCAGTTTGCATATTACCTCTTCATTATATAGGGTAATTTCCCCTCAGGTTTTAACTAAGCTATTTTAAATATTTTTATAAGAAGAAGAGAATGTTATTGAACCACTCCTCTACATCATTAGGCTTATATGTATGTTTTGGGGAATTTAAAAGGTAGAGAGAATGATTATTTTCTAGCCCTTTGTGAGTTTAGAAAATGTACATAATAATGTCAGTCTTTCTGAAGAGGCAAAAATAAACTGGTTTTCCATTTTTTTTAAGCCAATAAGCAGTACATGGTATGATTATTGGGGTGCTGACTATGGAACCTACAACTACAACCCTTACATTGGAGGTCTTGGAATTCCTGTAGCAAAGCCACCTGCTAATACAGAGAAGAATGGATCACAGACAGTTAGTGTTTCAGTGTCTCAGGGTAAGTGTGTGTTTATATATTTTAAGACATATGCTATTCTTAGAAATAAGTCCTAAATTTATGTTTTCTCTCTTGAGAAATTGAGCCCGAGTGTGTTCTAAGAGGGTTTAATATCACAGGTGTGCCATGATAGTGACATTCAGAGCTGTGAGTTTCTCTGTTAGTGTAAGTTTTGAGGAGCTTTCATTTATGGTCCAAATTTTCCCTCCTTAAAATAACACTTATCAAAATAGCAAAATATATTTGTAATTGTGTTTGTCAGTGATTTTCAGTAAATCTGCTTTTATTTCTTTAATGTTAATAAACTTTTGTATTTTTCAACAGAATAAAACCATTTTGATTATTATTTTGACACTCTTCCAGACACATAAAATATATCTTTTTTTTTTACATTTTGAATCAATCATATATTTATCAGAGTTAATTTATCATGTGTTGCCTTGATCCATTAATTGTAAGTTGCTAATCTGATGTTATTTTTGTTTAGTTTATATATTTTTCAAAACAGGTTATTCTTCTACATAAACACATCAGAAGGCACATTTAATCAAAATCAGGAAATATTAATATTAACTAATGTTTAGTTTTGGCAGTTGTGTTTAAATAATATCCTTTAATACAAAAGGATTTAGTATAAGAACATGCAGTACATTTATCTCTTCAGTTTCATTCAGTCTGCTACAGTTTAACTTTTGTGATCTTGATGCTTTTGAAAATTACAGCCTAGTTACTTTATAGAATGTCCTCCAGTTTGGATTTGTATGCTATTTCCTCATGACTAGATTGTAGTCATGCATCTTTGACAGAAATATTGCGAAAGTGTAATGCTCAGGTTTTCTTACTGCACCCCATTAGGTGGCTCATGATTTTAATTTGTCCCACTACTGCGAGTTTAAGTTTATTTACTTCATTAAGGAGGTGTTTGCCTATCTTCTCCATTGTAAAGTTAGTCTTTTCTTCAAGTAAAATATTTTAGGGGTGTGGTAGCAGAGGAGTTTTGAAAATTATCACTTTTTAAAAAATTTATTAGTTTATTCATTTAGTTTGAATAGACCCTTGGTTTGCTGTTTTACTCAATGAATTATAATTCAGTTATCATTATTTAGTTGTTTGTTCGGTTTTATTGAGATAATATATAAATAACATAAAATTTACCACTTAGCCTTTTTAAGTGTGCAGTTCTTTTGCAGTAAGTCCATTGCTAGTGTTCTCATTATTTATTTTGATGTTCAAATAGTTCCAGATTTGACCAGTGGGATCTTTTCCAAGCCGGTCTCTTATTTTTGCCATGTTATCATATTTCTTTGAGCACTTCCTTGTTTTCTGGCGCAGCAAGATGCCAAGGCTGACTATTTACTTTTCCTTCCCCAGATTGAGAATCAGATATTTTAATAAGGTAAAGTGATTTCAAAACCTTTTAGTGAAGAAATTGTGATTTAAAAAAAACAAAATTAGATTGATTGATAGACCCCCTACTGGGGCTCGAGCCTGCAACCTAGGCATGTGCCCTGAGCTGGAATCATAGGTTGATTGATGCTCAACCACTGAGCTATATTGGCTGGGCTACTTATTGCTCTTTTGATGGCCATGGCCTCTTGGTGGACCAATGTAGGAGAGTGTGTATGTGTGTTTATACACATTTGCATCTATATTCATTTCTATGTCTGTCTAGAATGCCATGAGTTCACATTGACACAACACTAAATCTGACTAATCCAACTTCATAAGCTTCATTTTAGTAGTCCCCATTTTCATGGTTGTATCTTCTGACAGTGAGGAACCTGGTTCTCAGTATCCTTAACGTATTCATTTCATTACTATTCACTTATTTGATCCAACTCTTTCTGCTTATTCACCTTCCCATCACTAGACTTCTTTGTGCAGTTATTATTACATGCTATGGCTATGATAACTTCATGCCCATTTGTTCTTACCTGAGGACACATATCCTACCAGGTTTTGTGTTTTGATGCCAACATTTTATTGTAGGAAGTAGGACATGAGTAAGTCTTACCAAATTATCTTTTTTTTTTTTTTAATAAATCTTTATTGTTCATATTGTTACAACGGTTCCTCATTTCTTCCCCCCTCCACCAGGTTCCCACCCCACCCTCCGCCCCCTCCCCATCCCCCATTGTCCTCATTCATAGGTGCAGTTTATGTTCAGTCTCTTCCTCCCTCCCTTTCCCCGATAGTAAATCCCTTTTCAGATAGTAAATCAGTTACTTAGCATTTTCTCATATCAATAATACCACCACATGCCCAATGATACATTTCACACAAAAGACATTTCCAAATAGGTCAACCAGCCTCATCCAGGCCCCACCCAAGGCACTCACAGATCAACACCCCAGCCCTATACTAACTCAACACATCCAGATCTAAGCCTTCATCACTTGATTCAGCAGACCCTCAAGTTCCTGCAAAAGTTTCCAGCCATGCCTGAGAGGCAGCCGTGGGGGAGGGGCAGGCGAGGAGCGAGCTGTTCCGGGCCTGGCTGCTCCGCTCTGGTTCGTTCCACAACCAGCTGCTCCGGGTCTGGTCACTGCCGCTCCTGACGTAGTTGCTCTGGACCTGGCCGCTGCTGCTCCGGGCCTGGCCGCACCCGACCCGGCTGCTCTGGGCCCGGCTGTTCCGGGCCCGGCTCCTCCGGGCCTGGGCGCTCCCAGCCTGGCAGCTGCTGCTCTGGGCCTGGCTGCACCAGACCCGGCCCAAATTATCTTTTTAAAAACATCTTTTCATTGCTTTTCTTTAGCTCTAGATGCTCGTCTAGAAGTTGGACTTGAACAGCAAGCAGAATTAATGTTGAAAATGATGTCTACCTTGGAAGCAGATTCCATTTTGCAGGCATTAACAAATACATCTCCTACATGTAAGTAAAAATCATCGTTCTTAGGGTATTGCAAAAATGGTTAATCTGCTGATTATTTTCAGGTGTAGCTAGCAATTTTAGATTTTTAAGTTTTATGTCTGATGTGAGTCTGAATAAGCTAAATATAAAGCACCTCTCTTGCTAAATAAGTAGCAAGTTGAGAAACAAGACAAAGGATTAACAAGTTGGGAGAGTGGAGGGGAACAAAATATCTCCATGTAGTGCTCTAAAATTCAACCCAGAAACCTGAGTTATGTTTTTGTTTTGTCTTGTGAGGTTAAGTAAATTCCTAGGGAAGGCTGTTAGCTAGTTGTCTGTGAGTTTATTACATTATATCTAGATCATTAATAAAATTTGCTTTTGTATTTACAACATCTGTATTATCCTTAAAGTCTAGGATGGAAGACCTAGGTAAGGATGATAGTGAAATGGGCCTAATTGAACTGCAGAATTAAAAGGATTTGCTACCTAATTACCTATAGCAAAGGAAGGAAATTTTTTTTATAATAAGGGACCAGATGTTAAATATTTTAGGATTTCTGAGCCATATAGTGGGTATTGTAACTACACAACTCTGACTTTTTAGCGATAAAGCAGCCTTTGACAATAACAATATGGTTTGCTGACCCTTGATGTAAAGTGCTAGGCTTGGGTAGATCTGCTTCTCTCAGGTGAGTACATTTTAGATAGCAGCCTGTCTCTCAAAGGCAAAGATCGAGAAGAAGTATTGAGAAGAAGATAATGGTTCCCCCACCCATGTAGACCTACGAATCACATGGTGACAGTGGGCTGGTCATAGCAGTTATTAATAGAACCTAGGGAGAGCATCATGTTCCTTTAATCAAAAGGCGTTAGCTCACAGTTCATTTTAATAAAAGCTGGAATTACTATTTTTTTAAAGTTCTTTCTGTGTTAAGTTAAATTCTTTTATTGCAAAATTTCATTTACTTCTTAGGAGATACAGAAAAAAAGAGAAGATGATGTTCTGTAATCTTAGTATTGGTATTCTAATATTGTTGTACATTGTCTCCTATGTTATAATGGGGATCCCTTTTGTTGGCTAGCCTTTCTATCACCACAGCTCAATACTGCCCAAAATAGCGCTTTTCTTTGTTAGCCATTTAAGAAAAAAAAACAACACAAAAATATTTATTAGAAGTTCCTTTTGTAATTTGTATCAACTTCTCAGTTGTCTATTGATTATTGCCATGAGCAGAACTGTGTCCTTCCCCTTGCTTCCCCCTCCGTTTTAATATAATAACTTTCTAAATATATGAAGAACTGCTCTTAGAGTCCCTATATTTCTCGCTCCTCATGAATTATATTTTTTAATTAGTTTGAAGTGTGGCTTGGCATTAGGATTTTTGGATGCTTCAGGGTTAAAAATCAATTGACTAGATTGTCCATCCTAATCCCTGCTGGTGAGCTTGTGGCCTGCCAGGTTTCGCTTGTGGACCAGAGCATCCTAGAAACCTCACCTGGAGAAGAGAGCTCAGCTCCAGTGGGCTCATGCCAGGGAACTTCTAGATACTTGTGGGTGGGGGTGGAAGAAAGAGAGAAAGAAAAACAGTCAATAGACTAGAGTTTAGATTATTCTAAAACTACCTTCTTAAGAATTAGTCAAGATTCTTCTTCCTCTCCCTTTTCTTTTCCTCTTATTAAATAGGAAATTTTAAAAAAATAAAAATTGTTAGAGTAAAGTGAAAAAAAAATTCCTTTTCTTTGGTGGACAAATCCTATGATTTGGGAGTTTCTCTGTTGATTGTCCTTTTTGACTTTCAAGTAATGTGATTAAAACAAGTTTTTATATAATAATGAATCATTTTAAAGAATATAGTTTTAAATTAAAAAAAACACACATACACAACAAAAAACATGACCATCACTTACCTATACATAGTAATAGCTAATTAGCAGTTCTCCTGATTTGTGTATAAAAATCATAATTGTGTTTAATTTTCAGTATCACAGTCTCCCACTGGAACAGATGTTTCACTTCTAGGGGGTTTACAAGCAGCGAACCAATCCAACCAACTTATTATACAGTTATCATCTGTCCCAATGTTAAATGTTTGTTTCAACAAACTTTTTTCCATGCTTCAAGTCCATCATGTTCAGGTATGACTTCAGGAGAAATGATGCATTTTTTTTTAGACATTATTAACAGCCTGATATAAGATGAAAATGATTGGGGAGAGCATTCTCAACCTAACAGGGATGATTTCTTTATTGTGCTTAGCTGGAAAAATACTGGAGATGCTTTAATAACCACAGCTCTTTAGTAATAGGTTAAATATAATTTTTATGATTCTAAGTTTTATTGATTAGATCCCACTACAGTTGACGCTTGAAAAACACTGAGTAAAAAAAAAAAGGAAAGAAACAGTTGTTAACGGCTCTGACCTCCCCCACAACTGAAAATCACATTTAACTTTAGACTTCCCCAATTTAAACTACTAATTGCCTTATGTTGACCTTACTGATAAAAGTCAATTGTATTCTTAAAATAAAATAAGCCAAAGAAAGTGTTATTAACAAAATCTTAAGGAAGAGAAAATACATTTACATATTTATTGAAAAAGTCTGCATGTAAGTAATTCTGTGCAGTTCGAACTCGTGCTATTCAATGGTCAACTGTAAATATCAACTTAAGTTAGAAAAGCATTTCTATTAGCTAAATTATAAATTTATATTAGGTACATTATATATTTTAATTTAAGTTTTGATTCATCAAGAATTTTAAGATTGCTTGTCAACTAAATTGAAGTAACCAAAGTATTTAATAGAAAAATTATTTAGACTTAATCATAGGGATTCATACAGAAGAATTTGTTTATATAGTATTTCATAATACAACATACTTTTTTCCTGTCAATTTTTATTCTTTTGCAGTTGGAATCACTTCTCCAATTGTGGCTCACATTGAGTCTGAATTCTAGTTCATCTGGAAATAAAGAGAATGGAGCAGAAATTTTTTTATATAATGCTAATCGAATACCTGTCATTTCATTAAATCAAGGTAATATTTATTACTAGGAAAATTATTCTCATAGCATGAATAATAAAAAGGTAATGATTAGGCCAATATATACTTAAACTTTGTCATAAGGGTTATAATGAAAGAAAAATACTTTTATACACTGATTTAATAAATAGCAGGAAAGAACCGAAGACTTGTATCTTCTCTTACCTTTATTATTTTATTCCTGTGCATCTGAACTTGACAATATTCCATGAACCTTTATATTGGGTTCCCGTAAAGTAGTATCTTAATTTGCTTTTAGGGGAATTGGTAAGTTGGAGAAGGATATTAATTTGACATAGAAGTTGTGTTCATTTTTTTCATGGCATATGCAAGGATGTGGAAATTAGAATAATATCTTCAACAGGAATAGAACTAGATCTGGTTATAAGAATTTATTTTAGTTATATTTTAAGAAAAGTGAAAATGATCTATTTCTGGTGTTTCTCCCTGTGGAGGGTTATCCTATATTTTACATGACTCTCATACGACCTGTCTTTCAGTCTTACTGACAGCCACACTGGGTCATGGGTTCCACATATGCTTGCATTGTTTCAGCAAGACCAGCCTGACTTTATTTGGCTTACATCTTTTCCTTGCATTAGTAATTATTATTATAAATATTTCTCTCATTTATTTTAAACTTTGTTATTGTGGAAAAATATTTAAAAAGAGTAGATAGAGAAGTAATGATTCCTTACTATCATCAGATAATCTAGTTAGTATTCAAACTGACAATTGTCTCAATTTTTATAATTAAATTTCTTTAAAAATTTGGATCTATATAAGGCCTATACATTGTAGTTTTAATTATGTTTCTTCCTTTTAATCTCAGTAGGTTCCTTCTGTGTCTTTTTTATCCCCTTATAAAATCATTTGTCAAAGAAATATGTTTGTATGTTTGCCAAGATTCCTGGGTCCTGTTTCTTTGTGATTGTATCTCCACTATATCCTCTGTATTTCCTATAAATTGGTAGAATTATAAATTGTAGTAAATTGAAGCTTGTTCTGATTTGATGTTTTGAAGGCATTTTATAAGTTGTCTGTCTTTTTAACAAGTATTGATGTTTAATGCTTAGAGTCATTAATAATTCAGTAGAGCCGAAACTGGTTTGGCTCAGTGGTAGAGCATCAGTCTGTGGACTGAAAGGTCCCAGGTTCAATTCCGGTCAAGGGCATGTACATTGGTTGCGGGCACATCCCCAGTAGGGGGTGTGCAAGAGGCAGCTGGTCGATGTTTCTCTCTCATCGATGTTTCTAACTCTCTATCCCTCTCTCCTCCTCTCTGTAAAAAAATCAATAAAACATATTAAAAAAATAATTCACTAAATATTTCAAAATGAAAATAGTCTAAGTCTATTCCTTTTTTCTCTATTAGCTGAAATACTCCAATATTGAGAAACTTCCTTTTATATGCTATCATGTCACCTTTTGATGTTATAGTTTGTATGAAAAAAATGCAGGAAAAGTGCTGGAAAATTTTTTCTTTTATAGAATTAGTTTTAAAAATGACCTGGTGCACAAATAGTCTATATTTATAAGCTATAAGTTTCTTTAATAAATATATGTATGAGTTATGAACTTAAACATATTTTTTACTCTTCTTTTACAATTCTAATTTTTTTTACAGAAAAGGTTATACATACTTTTATTTTTTTAAAAAACTTAAAATTCTATATTATGAAAGTAACAATTATAATTCTTATTGATAGTAATATTATGCCAGTTGTGGCCAGTAAGAGACTTCTTTTTAAAGTTTTTTTGGGGAGAAGGGTGTAATTAAAAAAAAAAAAAATTCGGTTTCTGTGAACTTTTAGTGTAATAGGTGCCCAGGCTGTGTATTTCCTTCCTGATGTCTGGAATGATCCATTTTTCAGAGTGTTTTAAGAGCATACGTGCATTTTCAATAATTGTTTTGGCTTCTTTAGCTGGTAGTACTTACCGTATTTGGGCCTTTTAAGCAACCTTACTATGGTTTTACTTTGTGCTTTGTTGGGGAGTTAGTGATTTTGTCCATCCTTTCTTTAAAAAAAAATATATATTTTATTGATTTTTTTAACAGAGAGGAAGAGAGAGGTAGAGAGAGTTAGAAACATCGATGAGAGCGAAATATCAATCAGCTGCCTCTTATACACCCCCTACTGGGGATGTGCCTGCAACTAAGGTACATGCCCTTCACCAGAATTGAACCTGGGACCCTTCAGTCCACAGGCTGACACACTATTCACTGAGTGAAACAGGCCCTTTATTTCTAATAAGGCTTATTATTTTCAATTTTGCAGAATATGATGATTTTTAGTAAAACACAAATTCTGTTTTCAGTAGAAATGCCTGTATTTTGGAAAAAACAGTAAATTTATAATGATAATAATTAATATGTCATGGGCTGAGCTTTACACTTAGCCATAAAGTGTTATTGATGCTTAATGCTTTTTTTTTTTTTTTTTTTTTTTTTAATGGGGAACTCTTTCATTTGTATGGGATGTTAGATAGTGAGTTGATTTAAATTCTGAGTAAACATTTGGTTTTACTGAGTAGAAATTTTCCCTTTTCTTTTCTCTGCATAGCATCAATTACTAGCTTCCTCACAGTGTTAGCCTGGTATCCAAATACCTTGCTCCGAACATGGTGCCTTGTGCTTCATAGTCTAACAATCATGACGAACATGCAGCTTAATTGTAAGTAAAAATCTATTCTTTTAAGCCTATTCATTCCTTTAAATCTCTGACATATACAACATTCTTGCTATCAGAGTCTTTAAAAAAAAAAACTTTCTAAGAACTGACATAGTTATGACAATTAGTGAATTTATTTGAATATGTATCTTCTGAATTTGTTGAGATATATATATATATGTATGTTGCTATATACTGTATACTTTGCTTTCCACTTGTATCAACTTTATGTTGATAATATATTCTCCTATATGTACCATTATAAATTCAAGTCATATTTTTACCTTCTAAAATGTAATAATTATTAAAATAAAATTGATTACTTTTAGAGCAGAAAATAAAATATTTAACACTTATCTGTGTTTTATGTTGATTATTCTATTAAAGTACCTTTGTATTTAAAAATGATTTATAATACTCATTAACATATGTAACTAGATTTTTCAGTTTTTGTTTTTTTACATTCAAAACCTATGTTTACTGAACATAATTTTTCTCAGATTCCAATGCCCTATTAAGTTTTTATCTTTTCACCCCCCCCTCCTTTTTTTTTTTTTTTACCATTTTAGTTAAGGTAGTAAAATAATTTCTGAACATTTCTTGGAAAGGAACTTTTAGTGCTTTTTGTGGCTTTTGTTCCTCTCAAATCATGAAAATACTCTCCTATTTTATCTTCTTGGTGCTTATTGTTTTTCATTTTAACTCTAGGTTTTTATTTGGCATTCTTGAGGTAGTTGTAAGGTAGGGATCAATGTTTGTATTAGAGGGCATGGACTAGCCATTTGTGAATTGAAATCTTTATTCCAAGGGACATATGTAATACTTTCAACAATAAA